ACTCTGGGAGTCCGAGGCGGGCGGATTGCTCGAGGTCAGGGGTTCAAAACCAGCCTGAGCAAGAGCGAGACCCCATCTCTACTATAAATAGAAAGAAATTAATTGACCAACTAATATACATAGAAAAAATTAGCCAGGCATGGTGGCGCATGCCTGTAGTCCCAGCTACTCGGGAGGCTGAGGCAGCAGGATTGCTTGAGCCCAGGAGTTTGAGGTTGCTGTGAGCTAGGCTGACACCATGGCACTGACTCTAGCCTGGGCAACAAAGCGAGACTCTGTCTCAAAAAAAAAAAAAAAAAAAAAAAAGAGCCATAGGAAATATTGCCTACGATACAATACTGTTTTCTACTGTTTAAAATTAATATGAGAGCAAGGGTTTGTGGAGATTCATTGTTAAAATGATTTCTACTAAACATCACTAAAAGTGCTCACTGAAATACAGCAGTTAGGAGCATTCTTAACCTCCCTTGTCAGCAGGCAGAGCTGGGATGATAAGATATACTTCATACAAAGAGGAAAAACGAGAAATCTATATAAACCTCCTGGCCTACGGAGGCTTGTTTGATATATTCTAGTTACTCAAAAAATACAATAAATATTCATTCATTTCTTTGATTTATAGAAATGACAGCCTTTAGTTACCCCTGATTATACCAATGTGCATTTTACTAAAACTAAATAACAATGCTATCACTTAGTACTTATTATTCATCAGATACTGTGGAAAGCACTTTTTATGTGCTGTGTCATTCATCGTATACTCTATTAATTAAGTACATGCATTATTCCTATTTCAAAGAGGAAAGGGGAAAAGTCCAGAGAAATAATTTACTAAGGCCATAGAGCTAGCCACAGTTCAAACTAGATCTAACACAAAAGCCTAAGCTCTTAACCACATGAATACTTATAAATATCACTATATTATTAGTTAGTTAAAGGCTTAACAAAAGTTCTAATAAAAAATAGCCCAGGAATAAACATTAACCACTATTAAAGAGGCCAAATAATACAAACTAGAAAATGCTATCAAGCTAAGTAGAAATTCTATCTTGTAATAAATAATGATTACTCAACACCTTAATCAATGTAGGTGTTTCATCTGTTAGAAATATCATACAACTTCGAGCTTAAAACTAACCAAGTATTTCCGGCAGGAAAACAAAGACAAGTGTAGAACTGGAGGAACTGCATTAAATATAATCTGAAGAACTAAAATGGTTTCAAATGTGTTACTGTAACCTTTAGCACATCCACAAATAAATAAGTCTCTTTAACAAGAAATTCTAAGAGATACCGCTTATATATTGTTTGTTTTTTTTTCACACTTCTTACACTAGTATATTGTTTTCCCATGTGACATACTACTGCCAGTAACTCAGTTTATTCCTAAAGCAGTGATTCTCAACTGTGGCCACACACTGTGATAACCTGGGGAGCTATAAAAATACCGACGACGCCGAAGTCCCATCCTCAGAGATTCTGATTTAATTGGTCTGGGAGGTGACCTGGGCATCAGGACTTTTTAAAGCTCCCCAGATGTTTCTAATACACAGCCAAGGTTGAAGGCCACCATCCTAAGGCTTGCTATAGGAACTACACATTTCACATAGGTTTGTATTGCTGCTCCATGAAAAATAAAATTCTGGGTGACTCAGCATGACTCTCAAAGTGGATTTGAGGAGCTACTCACTATGCAGAGCTGTTGCCCTCTTTGCTGCTCTGTACAATGCACCAGTTAGTAATTCAGCCTTGGTCCCAAAGGGGCTTTTCAGAGATGTTTGCTGCTTCACTACCTAAGACAGAACTCCTTGCAACTTTGCTTGGGTCACCAAACAGGTATTCTACCATTTAAAATGCCACTTAAACCACTCAGCTGCTATGCTTCAGAATAAATTGGATACTAAGGGATAAGTCTCCTAAATACAAAAGGTCATGATAAAAAGAAGGTATTTAGGTTGAAATATCTGGATTTCTTATCGTAACAGGATATGTTCTGAAAAGTCAAAATCCCACATCTTTATAGTTATCTAATGCATATTACACAGGTTCTAAGAGTTCTTACTTTGGAGAATAATGCCCTGTGATAGAAGACATACATTCTATAATGATTTGCAATTAAGGCACATCTTCAGAATCTTGGAACATATCAAATACATGATGGTAATTCAATATTTTCTGTAATTATATGTACTTGTTTATTGTTTCAGAAAACTAAATTGACAAAGCATATCCTTTCTAATTCCTTCAGGGGCTAACAAAAGAAAAGTTTATTCAGGAATTCTAACTTCTTTCTCCTTATTTAATTTCTACTATCGAAGGAAAGATGATGTGATCTGCAATAGTTCAAATAATATAAAAGTCATTTTTTTGTCAATTCCCATCAGCCAATGACCACTTAGAACACACGTGCAGTCAATTAAGTTAGGTTTGTCACTCTCAACAAGGAAGGCTGCACACCATGGAATAATGGGTATATCAAAAGTGGGGAGTTAGGGAAGAAACTTACAGAGTTTGGGTACCTGGAGTGAGAAATTGAGTGGTCTAGGTCTAATGGTCACAATTTCTAAACTCGGGAATTGCTAGAGCAGTCAGTGTTCTCCTCTTTGGAGATTCCCCGAGGGGTTACAGCTAAATCAATCTATCTGTGGTCTTACCTTCAAATGTATAAGTCTGAACAAACTGGTACTCTTAAGTCCACAATGGACATCATTCAGTACAATTTACCTGTTTTGCAAGGCATGCTACAATGAGCTTTGAAAAGTTGTGGTTTCTGTTTCAATACTCAGCTCCCACTTTTACGGACTAATTGTCAGCAGGGCCATTTCCCACTATAAATAGAATGTTTTATAAGTATCTTGCTTGCCTAGTTTTCAATGTTAAATCTTCAATGACATTTCTGATCTCCTTTAAGGATATTAGTCATTGCCTATCCCCCCCAAATAAGGAAAGACCTAAATTAAACGATTTCTGAGCATAATACTATAGACAAACCTTACCTAACCTGTCTAAAGTACCTCATTTCCTAATGAGATTCAAACATGAATACACAACTATCCCATTAGTCAATTTTATTGCCTTTATAGCATTTATCATCATTTGAAATTATCTTATTTATTGATTTATCATGTCATCTTGTAAAATAGGATACAAGGGAACAGATACTCTTGACTGCAATTTCAGTGTGCCTCCTAGAATAGCGGCTACCATACAACAGGTGCTCAATGAATATTTGTTGAATAAATAAGTGAAATATTCATATAATCATATGATTTGATTTGATTTTGATTAGGAAGACTTTTTGCAGTGAGTTGATAATCTAATCACATATGTTTCACATAATTTTATAGTGTTCAGAACTCAACTAAATATCAATTTTATTATTGAAAAGTATATATAATTATAAAGGAACACTTCCTTTTTCATTTTTCTGTTTTTGCAGCTACAAAGGAACAAGAACAATAATTTGATAGCATCTTGCAAATCATTAGGAAAAATCATTTCTAGTTTAATAGATTAATCACAGGTATTTTAGAAATACGTTTTCCATATTGCTAGGTGCATCTAGAAGTAACACTAAGATGAAGCAATTTTTAAAGGTTCATATGACTACAACAGCACATCTATGTATTCTGAAGAGTTTTCTTTATTAGGAAACATATATACTTTAATAAAACTAGCATTCATGATAAATGTGAAATCTAGATAGTTTTTGTTCTATGTCAAATAAGAAGCTTATAATATGAAGTTATACAGTGGTCAATGTTCACTTTTCAGGGGTTTGTTTTTGTTTTTTATTTATATGATTTTTCCATTCAAGTCAGACTTAATTGAAATTATTAAATATTATCCTTTTATTTCAGTGCCACTTGCCTACAAGACTTGCAAATGTAATTAGTTACATTCAGATAGCTTTCATTTTTCAACGGGCTAAAATTTGTAACGAAGATTGAACATGAATAGTGTTAATTCTGATAAGTTGGCTATACCCTCTTTCTATTTTGCCTATAATTATAAAGCATATTTCTATGGCATTTTGCCAGTAAAGTAGTTTCACTTGACTTTTTTTTAAATCAGTGCTCACATATGATGCCACCCTCCATTAAAAATATCACTTCAGAGGGAACGTTTTCTGGTTCCCCTGACTCGTATTTCTTCTCCCTTCAGTGGTAATAGCAATACGTTTTTTTTTCTTTTTTTTTGTTTTGGTTCCAACTCCAACCCTTTCCCCTTGTTTTTTGGACTTCTTTCCCACTTTTGGGTTGGTTGCTTGCCCCGGGTTGACCCGTTCTTGTCCCTTCTTTTCTTGGCCCGTTATTTGGCCCGGGGTTGTTTTCTTACTTCAGGCAAGGGCATTAAGAATCTTCACTGATACTATTCTAAAGATGTTGACTTTTTCCACTAAGGTTCTAAGATAAGTGTATATGAATTTGAGCTAACACCAATCATCTTCCATGCCATATGAAAAGAAACTATCTCCTGAATGACATCAACACACAGATAGAAGCAGAAAGGGAAATAAAGATAAAATTCTGATGAGATCATTTAAATTTTTTACATCCAAAGCATCTCTTCAATGCTAGAATTGTGTGGAAGTGCATCCCTTTGTTTTTTATTTTCTTTAGCTTCTTTGATCTGTGTTTTCGTCTCTTATAAATTAGTGATTCCTAATCAATACAAATTTGTATTTTTAAATGTGGTGTAAAAACAAAATACTGAATTCTTGAGTAAGTCATTAATTCTATTTGAGTTTCACCAGTAAATTCCATTTGTTTGTACTCTTTTGAGCGTGTTTAAAATTGATATGCTACTAACACTGTGGCATAACTATCCTGGAAAAATTTTAGGAAAACATCTTATTTCCCTACTGCGAAAACTTCTTTGTCATTCTTATTAATTTTGTCCCAGTGTGCCCTATTTTGCTCTGCTTAAAGTTACTAGTTGTTATCTTACTGTTTGTTTCTGTTGTACTAAATCCTCTGCTACAATTTCTTCACCCTTAGATTTTATCCGCATTCCTCTACCCGGATCTTTGTGATGTGGAGTGATGAATACTGAATTTCTGAAAACTTTCTTCTTCTGCTTGGCTCCTTTCAAGTATAACTTCAGGTCTTTTATCTGGGTTTTCTCATCTCTATGGAATCTGCAAACCAGGTTAGAGAGAACTATATTATACTGAGGGGAGGAGGGAAAAGAGGAAGCCAGTGGGATCTTGGTCATTGACAGAGGAGGATTTTAAGCTCCCTAAAGCCCAGTCTGAGGAAGGATGAAAAGCAGGTCAATGGCTTGTTGTCTTTCCTGGGCTCTCTGGTGGGAACAGATGTTCTCAGACAGCATGGCACAGCTAAATCTCCCTACCTGATTGTACTTGGTAAGCCTCACTGCATCAGTAAGCACTGCAGAGAGATGGGGTGTGAATTATCTCCCAGAAGAAAGGACAAAGGGCTGAGCAAAACTCCTGATTAACTGCACTGAGTCTGCCAAGGTGTATCTCCTGGGCAAGGAAAACAACAGGCCAACAGGGGCTGCCCGACTCTTATTTTCAAAACAAGATAATTAAGAATGTTTACCAAATGGCCACTATGTGTTATTTTAGAGAGTCTATGTGTTATGCCCTAAACCAAATAATTTTGTGCCTTATAATAAATATTTTGGCAAACTGTGGAACTTATAGATTAGCATATTTCTTCTCTAAATTTCCATAGTGATGCTGATGTTGGCCTTTTGCTTCCTGAAAAAGAGAGCAAACTAAATTTATGGAATGGTTACAATTCCTCAGTAGGACTGAGAAGAGAATTATTTGAGATTTTACTAAGTTTTCTTGCATTTCTTAATTTTTATTATACTGTAAATTAGGAAACAAATTTTGAGGAGGTTATTTTTGTTTATATTTCATTTTTTGCAAAGCAAAAGTCCATAGCACAAAGGCTAAGATAACCCCTAGAAAATTACAGTGAGATACACAGACTAAAACTTATGAATTGAAGGGCATATTCAATTTGTCCTGACTTATTGGGGTAAAAAGAAGAGAGAAAACTGAAATAGGTATCATGGAACACAAACTAAAAAAAAGAAAAAAGAGAGAGAGAGAGAAAAGGGAGTCCAAAATATCACATGAGAATACAAAAATAAAACCATAACAAATGTGTATTTTTTAAAGCCGTTAAATTCAAATGTACCTCAGAGAATTTCATCTGAATGTTTCTGAAATCATAATATAACTTCCATGTCTTTCATTTGCCATTGTATATTTTTGTTATGGCACTCACCAGCCATAAGTCTGCCTAAGATGCAGTCTGTAAAGTCAGGCAATAGGTTCTAGGCTGCTACAAAGCCAAAAGCCACTATTCAAATTAAGGAGAACAGCAACAGCTAATAGAAGGAGGTAATATAAAAGAAAAGGAAAAATTGTCTATGCCTCTACATAATCTAATTCAATTGAATTAATCAGAATTAAAGTTCTGGCAGTTGAGTATGTGCTTATACACAAGACCCACTTTAACTACTTTCTTGAAAATAACCTGTCAATTCCATCAGCCTACTAGTTAGTTCATTTAAAAATGAGAGGTGGGGGGAGAGAGAGATCCTGCTTGTAAGGTTGAACTATTTGGTTGTTTGAGTGAACCAGTTGACAATTTTGTTCAAAAATAATCAAATCAGAACTGCGTGTCTCTGGATAAAGTTATTCAAATTGCTTCATAATCTTAGCACTTCACTCAAGTTCTTAGGACAATGGCCTAAATGTGTTGGTGCTTCATAATTGCTTGTTGAATAGTGTTACAAAGGCTTCATGTTTCATCAAATAGTACCTGGTCAGTATGGACATCCATTTTATTTTATTTTATTTTATTTTATTTTAGAGACAGAGTCTCACTCTGTTGCCTGGGCTAGAGTGCCGTGGCGTTAGCCTAGCTCACAGCAACCTCAAATTCCTGGGCTCAAGCAATCCTTCTGCCTCAGCCTCCCAAGTATCTGGGACTATAGGCATGAACCACCATGCCTGGCTAATTATATATGTATATATATATGTGTGTGTATATATATATATATGTAATATATATATATATAATTTTTTTTAATTGTCCAGCTAATTTCTTTCCATATTTTTTTTAGCAGAGATGGTGTCTCGCTCTTGCTCAGGCTGGTCTCGTACTCCTGAGCTCAAACGATCCACCTGCCTTGGCCTCCCAGAGTGCTAGGATTAAGCGTGAGCCACCTTGCCTGGCCTGGAGATCCATTTTTAATAATAGTGAGGAAAAAAGTCAAAAGTTATTTTAGGTTCTGGAATATAATAGACCAAATTTAATCACACCGACACATTTATAATATTTAGACAGTTTCAAAATAGTAATCTCTCAGTTATGCATCATAATGAAATCTTTTAAAATGAGAGAGAAATTATTAAAGGGAACTTTCAGTAACTAGACCAAGAGCTCCCTATAAAAAGAGTATAAATACATTAATTCTAATAGAAGTTTCTCATGATATGTTTCCTTTCATGAAGGGATTATACCTAGTTAGTGTTTGGGAAAGTGCCATGCAGGTTTATTGCCTGGTCTATTTGGTTTTGACTATCTAAATGTTTTTTAGTACTATAATGCAGGGTTTTTGGAAAAAACAACAAAGAACTGATATCTATAGCAAGATCCTCGAATATCTTAAATTTCACAATATATCTGTTTTAATAAACCTGAAGTAAATTACAGTTGTACAATCTATAATTGGTATTAATTTCCAACCTTTCTTTCCTTGAAGAAAGCCTCAGTCATGAAAAGTTAGAGAATGAACTTGTTCCTGGTCTTGGCACAGATTTTGGTTCTCTTTTATCTTCTATTTCTATCTTTGAAACATGGCACCCTCTTCTAGAGAACCACAAATGGACGATGTTGGCTGAGACACTTTCTTCCTACCAGTATAGAACTCTTTCAGTCTCTCTGTCCGGTACCAGTCAGAGTTCTAGTTACTTGCTTCAACCACAAAGAGTTACTAGCTGTCCGTGAACTACTTTATCATTTCCTACCACTATTGCAGAAATCTGTGCAATTAAGAATTTTTCTTTGGACAAGAATTATCCTACTTAACCCATCTACTGCGATATTTTTTCTCTGTCACTGGCAAAAAAAAAAAAAAATCAGATAATGGTTTTGATGATCAAGCAGTCACAAACAAAAAGAAAAGTCATGTTTAACAAGAGTCACTGACACATAAAGCTTTAGGGAAATGTTGATTACCTCCAAAACATTGCGCTATCAAACATGTGTAGAAAATTCAATCTCTTCAGCACATCATTTTTATTGCTCATTAACTTTCAGAATTTAAAAAGCCAGAAACTCTGGGACTATATGAAGAACACAGTCTGAGTGAGTGCCAAGCATACATAAGTAAGAGAGTCAAATCTGCATCCATGAATGACTTCTGTTAAATCACTTATCTTCAACCAACAGGTTTCCTCATTATTAAGTTGTGGAAAGTAACTTTTGCCTCTTACATCACCAGAATATTGTAAGGGTGTTGCAATGAAATATACATAAGCTTCCTTTGAGAGAAGAAATTTGTGAAACATAAATTCATTACACAAACCGCTTTCCATTAGAAGAGTTGAAACAGGATACAGTCCTGACTAAGCCACAGTTCTAACAAGCAGAGATCACTGGTGCAGGCCCACAGGAAGCATGTTTCTTTAGCCCATTAGAAACTATTTACTATTTTCATACAAAACTTTTACCACAAAAGGTACACAAATTATTATATATGATAGGGTAAAGGTTTGTGGTTAAAATCTCCTGTAACTTAAAACTAACCAAGCTTAATGTACATGGAAAGTTTCTTCCATTAATAGGTTATAGAAACCATTCTCTAAAAAGCTTAGAATTGTATTTTTTAACTTAGCTGCCTTAGAAGCTGAAACAAAACTGCACTGAATTGACATACTATAAAAAAGAATTCTATAAATTAGTAAACAAGGTAAATTTTCTTAATTTGCTATAGTTGATATAGTTCTGTAACATTAAACATAGGCAAATATATTCAATAGTTTAAACACTATATACTTAAACAAGAAAAGAAACAATTTAGTCCTTGAATACTCATGGCCACAGTGGGAATGACATCATGATCTTGGCCGGTACTATTCTCTAGGGACCCATGTTGCTAGGAAACAGGAGAAACATGAAGCTCTCCAGCCATTTGGGATGACCATTCTAAATTGAGCATAAAAACAATTCCTGGTTGCAGTGTGTCTTAGAAAAACAATAGAACAGCTGGCCACTGATAAGGGCATGCTCAGACCTAAGAATGACTTTCCAAAGAAAATGATTTTCTCCTTGAAATTCAGTATTTACATGAGAGAATTTTGTGTTCTGTTCCTCTTTGAGAGTGTTTAGTCCAATTTATAAAGTCTATTGAATATTTTTTTAATGTTCTGGTGCAGAATATCAAATAAAAAATTTACTAATTTTTCAAAGATGGATACCTTCTAAAATGTACTTTTCATAGCATAAATATGGAAGAAAAATAATTTGGTCTCAAATGAACCAATTCTCCAATATTGGCTACTGCCCAAATGTTTCTATTTTATGGGTGCAATTCAGCATATCCAGCCATTTAAGAAAATATTCTCTATTCATTGAAAGAGGTGTCTATCAAATGAATCAAAGAAATATGCTGAGATCCACTATATTTCTAGTCCATAGCATTGCTAGTGTAGAATAACTTAAAGTCTTAAAGCCTTATTTAGAATTTTTTAGAAAACATACAGTGTTTTTAACTCTCAATTGCATTTAGTTTCTTATAGTAAGCACTACTACTACTAGCACCTTATATGCTATAGTAAATGTTTATGTGGAAAATGGTTCTACTCAATTAGTTGAAACTAATGGATTCTCAAGGCAATTTAAGAATCCTCATAATTGTGCAAAAGAGAGCTCTATCCCTTTTCTAAATTAAGGTAGGCTTTCCTGTAATTGCACAACTCAGAGCAGACACAAATTTCATGTAAAGTAAATGAAATTTTATCAGGAAATTAACTTTGAAAATTAATGTATCTACAATTATATCATTGTTTATAGAATGACATTTCATCCTTTGTGCTTTTACTTGTCACTATAATTTTTATATAGTATTACTGTCAGTCCCAGATTACATGTGGACTCCTAGAAGACAGGAATTATTTATGCTTTATTCATCTTTGCATCTGCTGGACCTAGTATTATGTCTGGCACATGTTAAGAATTAAGTTTTGAGGATAAATAGATAGATGAATTAATTATCTAAAGCCAAAAGGCTACATCATCATCTCCCTATATATTCACTGTATATATTAGTATTGCTACTAATATACAAAATGAAAAACTTTCAAAATTTAAGAGTACTAGTACTACATAGTACTAGTATTCTCTAGTACTGTATTTTGGCTTATCATTTTATCTTTGAGAAAACCAGTTTTCCACTATTCAGTGTCTGAGATTATACAAGATTATATAGCATTTCCCCTTTCTCATCTTCTATTAAGAAAATAGCAGGTGGAAAGATTTTGTCTTATACATTTGATTATTCTTTGGAATTGTCTTACCTCGAGCTCATAAACTGCTATTTAGAAATAAGATTCAAAATAAAATAAGAATGTCTAAATAAAAAGTAGGGTAAAAATGGACAACTCACAATTCTTCCAATCCAATGCAAATGTAGATTTTATAAGCATTCTTCCGTATATACACTAGGTGGAGCCATTTGCTTAAGTTAGTTGTAAGAAAATTGAGAGTAATTTTATAAGAACCTGCCAAACTGTTTTCCAAAGTAGCTATCCCATTTCATGTTACCACCAGCAACATATGAAAATTCAAGTTGCTTCACAATCTTATTGGCACTTGGCTACTTTTTTATTTTAGTCACTCTGATAGCTGTATAGTGGTATCTCATTGTAGTTTTAATTTGCATTTCTTTAATGATTCATGATGTCAAGCTTCTTTTCGTGTGTGTATTTGCCTGCTTTATATCTTCTTTGCTGAAATGTCTATTAAAATCCTTTTCCCAAATCCAAATGTTTGCTATGTTGTTTGTTTTCTTAATGTTGTGTGCTGAGAGTTCTTGATATTACTATACTACCCAGAAATTCCACTCCTTTACACTTATTCAAGAGAAATGAACACCTATGTCCACACAAAGATCAACATATAAGTGTTGATAGCAACTTTATATTAGCCAAAACTGAAAATAGCCTATCAACTAGGGAATGAATGGAGAAATTCCAGTACACTCATACAATGGAATAGTACTTAGTAGTAAAAGGAATGAACTACGTGCAACAACATAGATGAATCTTAAAAGAATAATGCTGAACAAAAGAAACGAAACACAAAAGACTATATGATTCCATTTGTGTCACATTCTTGAAAGGAAAAACTAGAGACAAAAGTTGGATCAGTGGTTGCAAGGGACTGAAGTAGAGAGAAGGGATTAAACGCAAAGGAACATAGACAAACTTTTGGAGGAGATTAAAGTATTCTATATCTTGTTTATAGTAATAATTACACAATTATGTACATTTGTCAAAAGTAATGACTATATACTTAAAAGAGAGGACTTTCATTGTTCAAAACTTTTGTCTAATTTTTGGATATTTGTTTTCTTAAAATCCAATATTTTAATAGTCAGTTAACTGACATACCAAAAATTACCAAAGAGAAAGCAATTAATATTATGAACATTCTGAAGAATTCTGGTAGTTATTGTAAAATTCTCTATTAATATGCAAATTAAGATTTGTTACTCTTTCCTATCATAAGGATGTGCATTGATATTTTTTAATAAAATTATATTTATTTGAGAGTCTCAATGATACTAATATGATAGGGTGATATTTGTTTTATAATGAATAATCTAAATATAAGCAGGGAAATAACATAATAGAACATCCTAGTGTTCTGTACAAATCAATTGTCAATTCATATTGCACTTTCATAATAGGATACTTTCTATCTTTTAAATTATGTAAAAATGGGAGAAAGGCAAGATGGCTGATAAGAAACAACCCCAGCCAGAGCATCTCTGCAAGAAGGAGAAATTTTAGATAAAAGTGAAAAAAACAAACAGACAAACATAGATCAGATGAGGGCTGGAAGGAAGGGTGCCTGAACCTACAGGAGACTGCACAGGAAGAGTTTGTGGAGCAGAACTGGAAGGAGAAAGCACTTTAGTGCCTGAGGTAGTGGTTAGGGGTCCTGGGACTTCCAGGCGTGTCCTTATTCTCCACCTCAGCAGAGACAGGTGAGGCTGGGCAGGGCTGGGTTGGGTAAGCCTTTCCTCAAGCTAAATATACATTTTTTTTTCATTAGCTCATGGAACATTCTCTAAGATTGGCCATATCCTAGGCCATAAAACATGTCTCAACAAATTTTACAAAAATAGAAATAATACCATGCATCTTCTCAGACCACAGTAGAATAAAATAGGAAATAAACCACAACAGAAACCCTCATCTCTACACAAAGTCATGGAAACTAAACAACTTTCTGTTGAATGATTATTGGGTAAAGGAGCAAATTAAAATAGAAACCAAAAGATTCTTTGAACCAAATAATAAAGGAGATACAAGTTAGCAAAATCTGTGAGATACAGAGGAAAATTTATATCCATACATGCCTACATCCAAAAGACAGAAAGATCACACAAATCAATAATCTAATGAATCATCTCAAAGAACTGGAATAAGATGAGCAAATCAACCCCAAACCCAGCAGAAGAAAAGAAATAACAAAAATCAGAGCAGAACTAAATGAAATCAATAACAAGAAAAAACTGTATGGAAGATTAATTTTAAGAAATTTGGTTCCTTGAAAAAAATAAACAAAATTGACACATCTCTTGCTAAATTAACAAGAAGCAGAAAAGAAAGGACTCTAATAAGCTCAATCAGGAATGAAAAAGGAGAAATACACTGCTGATGGTAGTGCAACCTCTGTGGAAAGTAATATGGAAATACCTCAAAGAGCTACAAGTGCATCTACCATTTGATCCAACAATGCCATTACTGGGAATCTACTCAAAGGAACAAAAGACACTCTATTAAAAAAATCATCTGCCCTAGAATGTTTATAGCTGTACAATTCACAATTGCAAAGATGTGGAAATAACCCAAGTGCCCATCAATACATGAGTGTATTGTAAAATGTGGTATATGTATACCATGGAGTTCTACTCAGCCATAAAAAACAATGGTGATCTAGCACCTCTTGTATTATCCTGGATAGAGCTGGAGCCCATTACATTTAATTGGGTAGTCTGTACTTTTATTGTTGAATTATAAGAGTCCTTTGTATGTTCCAGATACAAGTTCCTTATCGGATATATGATTTACAGATATTTTCTCTCATTCTCCAGTTTTCTATTCACTTTCTTTATGGTATCCTTTGAAACACAGAAGTTTTTACTGCAGTTAAGTCTAACTGATCTATTTTTCCTTTTGTTCCTCACATTTTTGGTACTGTTTCTAAGAATCCATTGTCAAATTCAAGGTCATGAAAATTTACCCCTGTTTTCCTGCTTTCCCCTGTTTTATAGTTTCAGATCCTTGATCCATTTGCAGTTAATTTTTATATATGGTGTAAGGTAATGATCCAAATTCAATTTTTCTGAATATGGCTATTCAGTTGTCCCAGGACCACTTGTAGAAAACACTACATTTTTCTGATTGAATGGTCTTGGCACCCTGGTTGACAAATGTGTTGACCACAGATGTATAGATTTACTTCTGGATTTTCAATTCTAGTTAATTGTTTTATATGTCCATTCTTATGCTAGTACCACACTGTCTTGTTTACCATTGCTTTATCATAAGATTTGATACTGGGAAGTATGAGTCCTCCAACTTTGTTCTTTTCAGGAATGTTTTGGCTATTCTAGGTCTCTAGAGATTCCATTTTAATTTTAAAATCAGCTTGTCAATTTCCATAAGGAATCAGCTGAGATTCTGATAGAGATCATATTGAATAGGTAAATCAATGAACATTA